TTTTTTTTTTTTTTTTTTTTTTTTTTTTTTTTTTACCCTTGGTCGTTTGTTTGTCCACAAGACTCAAACGTGAACTTGACCGTTGCCAACGGGTCGTTCGATTTGGTCGTCGACATGAAGTCTTTAACATGTTATTCGTTAAAATAGGACATTATACTGTGTCCTCTTTCTAACAGAATTCATTTTTGGTTGCATTCCAAGCAACGTAGGCACACCCATCCACGGCTTAAGCACATGCAGAAGTGTGCTGAGATCCGTACTTGTGAAACTTTATAAATGATATCCCAAATGAGGAAGCGTGTTCAAACCCGTACATGTTAGGCACGCCGCACGGGAACCTTGTGTGGAAATGTGCCGGGATCCTTATTTGTTGAACTTCAAAAACATGACACTGTTGAGAATCCTGTGCGGAAGTGTGATGGGATCCGTACTTGTTAAACTTCATAAACGAATAACGATAGGCACGCCCATCAGGGAACCCTGTGCGGAAGTGTGCTGGGATCCTTACTCGTTGAACTTCAGAAATGTGTCGTGAATCTTGTGCCGAGGTGTGTCGGGATCCGCACTTGTTAAACTTCATAAACGAATAACGACAGGCACGCGCATCAGGGAACCCTGTGCGGAAGTGTGCTGGGATCCGTACTTGTTAAACTTCAATTCCATACTTGTGACGAGCAATGTGTCATGATTGCATCCTTGTTGGATAAATATATTAGAAGCCGTAGAGTAGCGACAGGCACGCCCATCCGGGATGCCTGTGCGATAGTGTGTCGAGAGCCACACTTGTCAAACCTCAAGTTTGTGAATGTGATGAGCAAGGTGTCATGATTGAATCCTTGTTCGATAATACTATTTATTTCTTTTATGCGTGAGTTGTACATGCATGGCTATCGTCTCGTCCGAGGCGGTTGTCTGGATGTTGTAGAGATTCAGACTTCTTTAGAAATACAAACAGTAACTGTTATTTTTGACATACAATTTATTTTTCCCGGTCAAGAACGCAAAATTGTCGGTCACATGTAATTCAGGCGGTCACAAGTACATGATTGTTTATGCACACAAGAGACTCGATGTCACTGGTCTTGCACTCTTTGCATAACGAACCTCGCACCCACACACTCGTCGAGATTTGTCTTGCATCCACACTCTTATTCGTCATGTCGCACCACACACACGAATATCATTTTGAGGTGAATTATATGCACAACTTTGGATTACCTGGACACAATTTGCAACGAGGACTGCAATGCGATGAATGTAATGACACGACAGACGAGCCGGACTTGACAGAGATTCCCAAGGCAATACGCGACACCAAACTGGCAGTCAACATACCAAAGACAACTCAAACCCGCAACACTAAAAAAAAGTAATGTCGTTGTGAAAGCGACAGTTAAAATATGAAATATTCTGAAACAGAAGTTTGCAAATCAATCGAATCCATCAAAGACAACGACATTACAAGATACATGATGCCAATTGTCATCTAATATATGGAATATTTTTACAAGAGAACCTGAAAGGCGGTCGATCGCCACGTTGCAACAGTGTCGCAAACATCAACATAAACACCCCGCAACTAACTCCATCCACTTGTCTTGGAACTCCCTCTATAACAACATTTGCTTTCACCGACTTCCAGCGTCTGCACGACTGCCTACGTGATGTTTAACATTCCAAATAGTGTACAATCAACTCGAAAACACTAAGGTAAAAACTAGAATCGGCTACAATGCAAGGAAAAAAATCGAAAATCTCAAAAACAAAATATCTCAAGCTCACGGAAAGGAGGATCCATTGATCATTATCTTTGAGGACTGGAACAAAGATAATATCATATTCAAGCAGATCCACGTTTTTAGCCCATCTTCCCACCCCGCCGTGCCTTTGAAGTTGCAGTTTACCGAAGAAGAAAGAATTAAAGGTGAAGACTCGAAGACCTGGCGGGATGTCACTTGTCCAATATGCGGTCGTTCCTAATAGCGCCATGTAGAAGTTGACCACCTCATCATTCACCCTGCCATCGGTAAGTGAGAGGGTGAGAATATCCTTCGCTGCAATTCGCAACTKACCATCGAGGAGGGTCGAGAGTACAGTGTCAGGTGGCACCAAGCCTCGTTCAATGTCGTCCAAAACCCACAAGCTTCCAATCGCAGTCACTGCTGTTCCAGGTGCCGTGGCCCGCACTGCACAACATCGAGCAAAGGACAAGGGGGGAAGTGACAAACGAAACACTAAGGATTCTCCTTCATCGCACGACGAGTAGCTAAGTATTTCTCATACATGGCCTGACCCCCAGTCACAGATCGTGGATATGTCCCTTTCTCTGGGGGCAGAAGGGAAAGACACTCCTCAATGGCAATGGCATGCTCCTTCTTCCCGATTTCGACATCAACCCCTGACGCCTTTATCATGTCCTTGTGTTTTGTCGTCAACCTCGAGACTGTATGCAATATGTGTTCCGAATATTTAGAGGGCCTCCGTGTTCGAGACGACCCTACCCCTGTACAACAGAAGAAAGACAAAACCGAAAGTGAATACACGTTTCCGAAGAAGAACCCGACGAAAGGACAATTAAAGGACCACGAAATCTAAAGGATGCAGGACCCATGCAATTACAGAACCCCGTCATGCCATGAGAGTGCGAGAGAGAGAACTTCCGCACGAGCCACGTTGCAAAACAAAACGAGCAGTGCACTCGAGCTCGACACCCCCACCCTTCAGAAGGGAAAAAAACCAAAGGCGGAAGGCAAACATCTCTAAAGTCCGGATCCCGGCGGACTTTTCCAACCCAGGGATATGACCCAACCACTGTGCAACCGAAGGAAGAGAAAACGGAAAATGAACTCACGTATTCCAAGACGAATCTGACGAAAACGACAACTCAAGAACCACGAAATGTAGAAGATGCAGGACCTATTATCTATTTACAGAACCCCGTTTAGCCATGAGAGAGATAAATAATACTTCCGAGTAGGCCCCGCTGGAAAACAAAAGGAGCTGTGCGTTTGACCTCGACACCCCCGCCCTTCAAAAGGGAAAACCTCAACAAGCCACAAACCCGGAGGCCAAACATTCATGAAGTCAGGATTCCGGCGGACGTTTCCCAATCGAGGCACCAAAAGAGTAACCGCGTTACGCAGCGGCCTTGGCAGTGCGGATCCCGGCGGACTAAAACCACCACTCATTCCGAAAAAGAAACACCATCCTTCCATTATGTAAGGGAACGCTTCAACAAAAACACACATGTTTTTGTCTCGTACGCCCTGCACACGACCAAGGACCCGACCGACTCACAGGATGCTCGTTCACATGTACTTGGAAGTTTGAAGGAGTGGTGGCTGTAGCATGCCGGCATTAGGAACTCCCTGCATCGACAAACACTGCGGTCACTGGCGCGCAGACTGAGTGGCGTTTGTCACTGCTTACCAGCTGGTTTGCCTCTCCGCTCCTTAATCGACGAAGTTGGCGCGGGCAAGGCCAGCACGTCGAGAGCCCGAGTGCCGGCGACAATTTTTTTCGGGGATGTGAAATCTTGTCGTCCCCCGATCCCGCCTTTTCCTCCGCTGGCGATGGCCGGCGGCAGCATCAAAGAGTTCGTCGGCGAGAAATCAACGACAGATCCCCCTGAGGGTTTGACGTCGAGAGGGTCGTTGACACCAGGCGTCGAGGACGGCTGCGCGGACATGTACTGGTCGCCCAGGATGCCGTCGATAACTTCTTCGATATCAATACGCACACTCGGTTTAGTTAGGCTGACTGCTACACGAGCTTCGTTGAACCGGTGTTGGAGATCGACGGCAGACTTCATTGCTTCGACCTCATAGTCATCACGTTCTGACGAAAGGCTTGTGACCACCTGTGCCTCCATACCCAGTGCCGTGTCATCGTCATCCTCGTCTTCCTCGTGGTGTTCTCCGTACAGCTGCCCGAATCTATCAGACGACTCCCCAGATCTATCATCGTCGTCGCCGAAAGTCCGTTCGTTGTCTCCTGTATTTAGTTCACCTTTTTCCCCCTCCTGCCCTCCTAGCAACCCAGCCAACTCCGTTCCTTCCCCTTCCTCTCCTTCATCCTCTTCTTCCTCCCCTTCATCCCCTCCTTCCTCCAATTCCTCCCCTGTGTCTCCTTCCTCCACTTCCTTCTCTTTGTCCATCACCCTGCCTTCTTCCCCTGCATGCAATGCAACCACTTCGCCCGAACCCGTGTCGATTTCCGACGAATGCGTTTCCCGCCCGCCGCACGCAGCCCCTCCCGCCTGCACCAATATCCCTGGTTSGCCCCCCTTGCCTGAAGATGTTCGGATCCCGGCGAACTTCGCCGTCTCCTTGTCGCCGGGCCCTCCACACGCCTTGCCTGAAGAAGTTCGGATCCCGACGAACTTCGTCGTCTCCCTGTCGCCGGGCCCTACACACGCCTTGCCTGAAGAAGTTCGGATCCCGGCGAACTTCGCCGTCTCCCTGTCGTCGGGCCCTCCACACGCACCCTCTCGCTCCGACCGAAGCGGTTGGCAATCCCCCGCAGGCGGCGAAGTCCCATCCCTGACCGCACCGCTGTCTATTTTGAGATGACGACTCGCCACGCCCGGTCTTGACCAGCTCTGCGCGTCCGTCCTCTTTGTCCGCTCTGCAAGCATTGAAGTTCGGATCCCGGCGGACTTGAACGTTTCGACCGAGCCTGCACGGAGAGCAACTAAGGCCGCCATCACCGAGCAGGCGGATGAACAGGGCACGTTCGCCAACTGTGCCGAGCCTTCCAGACCGGGACCGGTAGACTGCTGACGCCCGAGGGCCTCCCCCGCCACCCGCCGCTGCCTTCCGCTGTCGTGGTGTCGCCCTGAGACCCGGACTCAGCCTCGTCGCCCTCGTGTTGTCGCACTGGGACTCGTTTGCCACCCCCAGCCTCGTCGCCCTCGTTCTCCCCACCGTCCGGTTCCCGGGACCCTGTACTTACATGCGTCCCACTGGGAGGGTGGATTTTCCTGTCCACCCTTTCTTTTGAGGGGCTCGTGTCGAGGTCGTAATAGTCCTTCGTCAGCTCCAACCAGCACTTTTCCTGAAGTTCGGCGAACAATCGCCCGACTGTGCAAATGACGGACAGGTTTTCGGGTGCGAAAGAGTCATTATCGGCCCTCACTTTCTGAAGGACCGCAATTCTAGCGACATCGAGGAAGTCAGACTTCGACCCGCGAGGGAGTGGCATCCATCCTCCGTCCGGGACAACGACCGCCACGATCCACTCACCCTTTTGGATCGCCGGCAGGATGACTCCTAGATGCCAAATCATGTCATGGCCCCAGTCCGCCTCCGTGGAACGACTTTGAGGCTCAGGCAGGAAGTGAATGTTGGGATTCGTCCAAGAGAGATGATCGGGCGGGATGTCAGACCCGGGACGCAGTGAGCGATGGGCGGAGGCCAGAGCTTGCATTCTCTGCAGCAACTTCATCGGGGTAGTGCTAGGCGCCGGTTTCGCCATCGGTGACACGAGGGACGCTGGGCTTGTCGACGGACCTGCCAAGGACGACCCTGTAGCGTGCTGCGCGGAATGTTAGTCGTACTGCAGGTCGAGGCTTTCGGTGTCGCTGCCCTCCTCGTCCGCGGTCACGTCGAACTCGATGCCAGTGGTCTCCTCGTCTTCCGTGGAGATCAAGAAGGAGTAACTGCCGAACATCAGCTCCTCCTCTGACTCCACGAAGTAAAGGGACTGCAACCTCTCGAGAAAGGTCTTCGCGTTCATGCGGGAGGCGCCCTGGTAGTTGTCTAGCAACGTGAACATGTGGTCCTTGCGGCGCATGTACTCGGCGTCAGTGTCTCTCTTCGGCCGCGTTTGCCGGAACAAGAAGTCGTATATCTTATTCCGCTTCCTCACACTCAACTTGAACCACATGTCCGTCTTGTTGTTCCATGCGCGAGCCCGAGTCTCGGTGACGACCATAAACTCGCAATTGTGGGCACCCGAATTGACCTCGCTTTTGACGAGATCAATTGTAAATTGCAAGAGCTCGGAGTTCCCGTCCATCGTGATGACGTGCCGTCTTGCCTTCAGTACTTCCCAGACTGACCGCGCGTGTGGCTTCCCGAGGAAAACGACACCCTCCCCCTTGTTGGTGATGGATTCGAGAAGCTGAACGAATTGCACGGGGTTGCGTTCCATATCCCCGTACACACTGCCCCGCCATGCAGGCGAGGTATGTGACCAGTCACGAGGGTTGAACGGGATGTCGGACACATCCGTTTGCGTAACCTTCTGTGGTACCCGCACTGCGGCAGCAGCGCCTGCCGGCAGTTTCCCCTCGTAGACGACGGACGTGTTGACCCGCAAATCGTCGTCTTTGAAGAGTATGTACATCCGGTCGTCTTCCGTGTACAAATTGTTCCCGACGGGGAAGCTTTTCTTCTGTTGACTCGTCCTCACCCACTTCCCTTCCAGCAGCTTGACGAAAGAAAGATGGTTCATGCTGGCCAGAAAGGAGAGGTTCTGCTGCCGCGGGACAAAAACAACGAGCGTCTAATGCGACAATCACCACGTCTGGAGTTGGGAATCCAGAGTGTCGAACGCTTGCGGTTTCCAAAGCTTCAGGTCCACCGGTTCGCACAGATCGAGGACGAACGTTTGACTCTTTGTGGCCACCACTGCCTCCTTCACCTCCGCACTCCTTGTGTCTGCCTCCAAGGGGTCGTTGCCGAATGGTGCGATGGATGTCACGTCGCCCGTGTCATTCTATTTTATATGCACAATGCTTTCGGCGAGCGCGATCTCTCGACTCTTCAGTCTACTGCCATTCAACACGGACAGGACCTTATTCCTCCGGTCGACGGACAACTTCTTGTGACCGGCCAGCTTCTCCGTCGCCTCGATCGATCTGTGGTCGTCGCAGCCCATGTAGGTCGGGCAGTCCTTGAACAGCGAGGAGTCAGTGACGTATTTCATGCTCCCGTCTCACAACTCAGCATCCAAACCACGACTCTCAAACTGTCTGAAAATTGTGGACCTTGATTTCAGGAACAGGAACCTCTGGCTCCAATCTGCGTCCGACCTTTTGTCGTGCTTGAACTGGTAGTAGTTCCACAAACGCACCAGCACCCGGTCGCACTTCACCAAATTCACCAGCTCCTTGACGCTCGGCTTTCTGAGCTTCGCCAACGCTGGGGAGTCGGCCTGTACCCAAACCACCTCGCAAGCGAGCACCTTCTTTAGGACGCGGCACTTCTCGTTGTTTGTGAGCGACTCCATCGTTTTCCAACAATGCGCGTCCGGCTATGGCACTTGCACGAACCACTCGCCCTCCTCTTTCTCCTTTTTGCCTTTCTTTGTCGGCGGGTCCACAGGGACGTTGTACACGACCTCCTTCCTGCCCAGCTTGTCATTATGGATGTATGCAACCCCAGGCTTCACGTTTTTGACTTTCTTCTTTCGCATGATCCACTTTGCGCCATCGTGTTCAAGCAATCTGCCTGTCTCCCATTTCTCGAAAAACTCGATGGCCTGTTTCCAGACATTCTCCCCTGCCATCGCCAGCGGGAAATAGGAACGCAGGGCAGCGCCTTTTTTCCTGATGGCCTCCTCGCCCTGCTGATCTGCGAGAATCCACAAGTTGTTGTGCGGTGTCATGTTGAGTGCGACACTACAAAATTCACGCCACTTCCGGACCTGATCCTGTTTTCCGTTGGGGTTCCCCATAACAGCATGCGGGCAACCGACGCGCTTCCACTGCCACCTAATGTCCCTCATTGACAGCTTGAGCTGTCGTGGGGGCGCCTTCATGTCCTTCTTGTTGTCCTGGGAACTGACAAGGAAGTACCCTTCGAAGTCGTCGTCCGAAAAGTAGACCATTCGTGCAGGCCACCGCTCGAAATTGTATTTTCTGGCCACCTCGCTGCCGAGCAGCGACCTCGCTGCAGCCGCGTTGTGCTGCCCACACACCGCGTAGTAGTAGTATTGTCCCGCCAGCTCATCCCTCCAATCCTCCGGCCTCAGACGTTTTACCTTGGTCCCCGGAGTCGGTTTATCAAGCCCCAGCGGTGCCAGCTTCAGGGTTGGTAAATCGTGAGACTGCGCTTTGTTTTCGAGCGCCAACCGCATCGCTTCTTTGATCCCTTCCACGAGAACGAGATCTAGGGACCGCTGGTTGTACAGGTCTTCCCAGTCCCCGAGGTCGACGACCTGCGCAGGGCTAATGTCGAACTCCCGCTTTGTCCGAACGCCGTCTTTGTACTCGAGGAAGTACTAGGCGTCGACGTCGATGGGAGTCCCTGTTGTCGGTAGAGAAGACAGTCCACACTCAGGCTGCTTCTGTCTCGAAGACGGTCGTTTGGCAACCTGCCGGCCCTGCTCCCCCTCGGTCCCCTTGCGTTTCTCCCTCGCAGTCCTGGGGGCCTTGCTCTTTAACTTCTTCGTAGAACCAGCGAACTCGTCTGGACGATCCCCCCTCCTCTTTTGCGGAGCTCCTTGCGAAGCTAGGCCTCCCGCATCCACCTCCTCCACACCCTGTCCCTCGCTCGCCTCCATTTCAACCTCCGAATAGGCCGCCACCTGTTCTGCTGGCCTCGTACTCTTCCGCTGAACCGGTGCATCAGTCTGAACCCCACGAATAGACAACATAGACCTCCGCGTGTCACTCAACGGCGGAGCAGTCCCCTCATCCTCGCTGTCGTCGAACTGACCTCCGCTCTCGCCATGGTGCAGTTGAGTGGCGGGACCAGAACCCAGATCACCGCCCTCCACCGCTGCCCCGCTTGACTCGCAACCGCTGCACAGCTTCATCGGCAACGACAACTCCAGGGATGGGTTGACGTCGCAGGGGACGTCTAGAGCGATGTTTTTGTCCTCCAACATGTCGAAAAATTCACGCGCCAAAACAAAACCGCCCTCGAGAACGAGTTCTTTGTAGAACGGGGTGTTCACAGCACCCGCTCGGAACCCCTCACACAATTCGCGGTCCAACAACGTCCCTTTCGAATTGGCAACGACATTGCCCTTGGCGCCATAAACGTGTTGCATATAGAAATCTCGTCGGCCCCCCTTTGCGTCCTCCCACCGCACGACGACACGAAGCACTCTACGCCTTCTGCTGTCATCGATGAAGATGACAGGACCACATGGCTGCGCAGTGGGGTTGGAAGCGTCTCCACAACACCAGTCGATGAACCATTTCGACCTCGAATGGTTCGACCACCCCTGTGTGGCAGTAGACGACCGCCTCGTGGAATCTTTTCGTGATTCCTTTTTGGAGGTCCCTGTTGGCTCCACCTCGCCCTTGGAAGAAGACATACTGTCTGCGAACGACAACGCAAATCGAAGAACACACCATGAAGTCAACGTTTGTCAAAACACAGGAGAAACAGAACACTCACTGCTGCACGTCAACGCAGGCTGTAGCGCAGCGAAATCCACACACGAAGACACCCGGGCACCCAAATTTGGATCGGTGAGAAGGGGTAGTCCGCCGAGATCCGAACTTCAAGTAGGCAAGAGACCGAGAGGCGGACAGAGAGAGAGAGAAGCAAATGAAAACTCGCAATGCACATGGGATCACGAGTTGTTCATGCGGCACACAGGGCACCCCGAAGAACAAAGATAGACAAACGCACAGTGAAAATCGTGAAGTCCGTCGGGATCCGAACTAAAGGACGGTGCGTGAGATAGAGACGGCGGAATCAGATTTCGGGAATTTTTCGCAGGAATCAACTGGCGGCCATGTTCGAAGCTCGCGCTCGACGGGGTAGTGTTCCCCGCGTGGCACTCGGAACCCCCGACAGTCCAACAGCCGAAGCTCGCCGAGATCCAAACTAGAACAGGGCGCGGGAGACATATAAAGAGCCAGCCATGCGGCCAGCGTCCCAGAACCGTGCTCGACCAAACGCACTCCGGAACCGTTGTCGGGCGGGTTGTGCGACCCACCCTGAACCACGAAGACTCAAGACAAAGGAACACACCTCCCGAAATGTGAAGTTCGCCGGGATCCGAACTTCAGGATGATGCGACAGGCAGAAACGGCGTCAGGGACGCACGATCCGCAAGTCTAAGGTTGTTAAACTCAACACCGACCCAGAAAGGCCACACCTGAATGAAAGGCTGGTTGAAATGGAGAAGTCCGCCCTAATCCGAACTACTTGTTATTTTCGATCTCGCGTTATGCACAGCTTGGCACTGGATGAACCCAAGCTCGAAAGCGGCAGCCGTGTCAACATTTGATAGGTCCTTGGACTCTGGCTGTTGCCGCAATCCACGAGGGATCCGGAAGAGCACCGTCTGTGGCAATAGACAGGCGACACCTGAAGTTCGCCGGGATCCGAACTTCAGGAGGCTGCGAGAATGAGAGACAGAGAGAAACATTGGAGCAACTCCGAGTCCAAACGCAAGACGGGGTTCGACCAAGGCGCACGAGGAAAAACCCCGGGGTTCCACAACCGACTGCAGGTTTTAATGGCAGCAGTCATTGAGTCCAGGCGGAATTGGTAGCAAGACCGTTTCTGACTCCGCCCAACACTCGAAGCTTGGAGGCCGGTAGGACGCACAAGCCAAACCGCAAAGTTCACGGGGATCCGAACTTCAAGAGGGTGCGACACGGAAAGAGACGACGTGCACTAGCAACTTCTGCCTCCCACGCCTTTCTCCACTACTAAAGCTCTGCCATGATCGGTAGAACACAAGCCTCTCACTCATCTCCCTTCTTTTCGCTTAAGCAGGATGTCCAACCACACGTCCAGATCTTGTGACAATCGCGGTTCCCCGGGGACGAGGTCACGAACCGTAGCCATACAAAGCATTCATTGACGATCCGTAAACGCGCACCAGCGGATCGTCGACCGTTGCAGTCTCCGAAAAGACGGACATGTATTTCATCCTAACAAACACTCCCGGTCGTGCTAAGGAGTTCCCTATACAGTCCCGTATGGCGGACACTTTCTCCTCGACCTCCCGATCCAACGAAAAGTTCTGGACCGGCCCTGCTATCACCAAATCTGGCCACCCATCCACACGAACAGGCCCGCGCGTCGCCACGAGTCTGGACCCCTCAATTGCCATCTCGTTGCGTGACACAAGCACAACAATATCGACGAGCTTCCTACTCTTGTTTGAAGTAGCGACACACAAAACCCTGGCGAAATGAGATCTGGACACAGTCAACCGCACACAACAGTACGACAAAGCTTGTGGAGAACTCCTGGGGCAACGAAGCGGGTACTGCTCCAGAAACGGGCAGTGTCGATCGCAAGCCAGAAACTCGTGTTTCCTCGAGCCTCCCCAAGTTCGTGGTGACGACGTGACGTATTGGCACTCGAGGCGACTGAAATGTCGGCTAATGCAGCCTACTGCTCTGCGCATGTCATTCAGGAACTTGTGACCGAGGATAGCGTCAGGCAGCGGGATGAGGGAACCAAACTCCAACATGTTGGCAAACTTGTACTGGCCTGCCCAAGGGCAGTCACTCTCCATCGTAGGTCAATTATCGTCGCACCGACCGTCGATATGCCTGCCCATGCACGGGACGACGGTCATCCAGGGGTCCTCCTCGAATTCCTCTGTGGTCGATCCCTGGATCATAGTCACACCATTGAAATGTTGCACGGATCTCGGACAAGGAGGAAACGGTTCTGCTAAGCGAATGTGCGTCTTGGGACTCATGGTCTGTGGTGTCGAGAACATCGACTCCATGATCCGTGGTGTCGAGAAGGTCCCATCCATTACGCGCCCTACACACCACGCGCACATACCAAACGACACACACGGGGACGCTGACACTCGTAAACATAGTTGGCGAGCAATCAAACGACATAGTCCGCACGGATCGTTGTTGCACTGGCAGTCGACGTTAATAGGCCGCACTCGGAGAACCATCACGGTTCCCAAGACGGGCACAACGCGGAGTTCGGATCCCGGCGAGCTTATGTCGTTGCGAAAAGTCGTCGGACGCCAGAAAGATCACAGGCAGAACTCGCGTCATGCGAAACCGAGAAGTTCGTCGGGATCCGAACTTGACGATTGTGCAAGGAGTCATGTCTGCCCTGAACGCACGAGGCGGCAGGTCCACCACGCCGTGATCATTCGCCGTTGTCACGCTGTGCAGTTTTGTTTTTTGCGACCTCCGGTTGTCGAGAAAGTGCATATTCAAAAACCCGGTTTGGAATGCCGTGAAGTCCGGAATCGAGCAGACTTCGTGTGCTTGTCATATCCATGAGGCAGCAGGCGAGTCGGTAACACGCCCAGCCAATGGCGGTAGAGCAATGTTTGTCGTGATCCGAACTTGGCAAATCTGCGTGGGAGAGATGAAGTTGTCTCTCCCACTCGTCGTCCCAAACATGCTTCAACTACGGATCCCGACGAACTTCGGATTTTCACGTATCCGAAGTTTTGACAATCCACCGCGCGCCAGAAAGCCCACGGTCAGAACCGTCACCGTGCGGAAAGCGAAGTGGGCCGGGTTCCGAACTTGACTATTGCACGAGGAACTGTGCGCGAGAAGTTCGGATCCCGGCGGACTAAGCGTTTTTACGAGCCCGTATTACGCCGGAGTCCGAACCTGTGGATTGTGCCAGGAGTTGTGCACGCACACTTAGGATCCGCGGGCCAGCTGACGAGCCGCAAACATGTCTTACCCAAAGTTCGTCGGGATCCGAACTTGGCGAAATTTCGAGGGAGAGACACAGCTGCTCACAAAACTCGCCATCCCGTGCATTCTTGAAGATTGGATCCCTGCGGACTTCACATTTTCATAGGTCCCTCGCTGTGGTTGTGCACTGGGTTTGCAACGCGGGTTGGGTTTTACGAAAGGCAAGAACCTGAAGTTCGCTGGGATCCGAACTTGGCGAAATGCCGTAGGAGAGACACAGCTGTCTATCAAACTCGCCTTTCCATTCTTTCTTGAAGTTCGGATCCCGGCGGACTTCACATTTTCACAGGTCCACTGCTGTGGTTGTGCACTGGGG